CGTACCTATTTGTACATGATTGTAATTTTTCTACTGTTTTCTACTTACTGAAATTGGTGAGGTTTCTATCTCGTAGATAACAACGTTCGACTGAAATACTATTTCACATAAAATATTTTAATAACAAGATCCTACGATTGTAAAAACGGATTTGAAGCATCGAGAATGAAACACAACTGAAAATGAATTAGCATCTCTGCGAAATATTTTGTTTATCAAGCGATTGCATTTTACGATGAGCTTTATAGATGACTGAATTGAATTGAAAGTTTCAGCATCAAAAATCCCGATTTTATTTATTTGTCGTCGAATATGTATGTTTGATTGTGAGGGGCTGATTGTTACATGCTAAATTGAAAAATTCGTTTTACGTTTTGAATATTAATAATTTGCAGTAGGTATCGCGTGGGATATGACAATGAATTGAAGGATTTGCAGACTGTTTTTGAAAACAATTAATTTTATCACTTCTAATAAAATTGAAAACAGCATTTTGAATAAGTTCGATGCAGATGTTTAAGTTTAATCGCTATTAGTAATCATATTTTTGACATCGTTTGAACGAGGATCAAGGATCAGTATAAACATTAGTCTGAAGGAGAATCATAAACGTTTTAATTACTTTTTTTACAAATATAACAAATACTATTGTTCGCTTACAAGCTAAAAAAAACTTTTTAATTAATTATAAACATTTGTTTACCAAATACAGAATTATAAAACCCAATCCTGTAGTCACATAAAGATTCAATAGGCAAATCATTTTGTTAAAATTAAAGTAAGCTTAAGAATTACACTTATGTAAATAATAATGAGACTTGTAGGTAGTTATATTTTCTGCCGACACATTGCGGATTAGATCTAATATTGATCTCGATATTCCTCCAGCAATAATGGCACGACCGACAGATTCAATAACAGGAGAAGTGTTATTGTTTCCCGCATTTCACGATGCTGAAAAATCTATCTTTAAACTTGAACCTCTCGTTCTGATAACACATCACCGATAATGGATAAATGGAGGTTTTCAGTTGCTTTCCTATTGAAAACAGTATTTTTCTTGATATACAGAAATTGCGTTTGAAAACAGCATATGTACTAAAATGCAAAATGATATCGAGTAAATGATTATTATTGTTTTGAACATCAAAACAAACATGAGATATATTGCGCTTACACGTTTCCGATCTGTGTCGTTGATAAGTTTCGTTGCACATTTGGTTGCAAAATAAATCGAAATTATACGCACACATATTATTCAGAGTTTGCCCGAGGTATTTGAGATACTTTGAGGAAATATGACATATGAGGATGAATTTTAAGAAATATATATGGTTTTGCCTCTTTCTGAATTATCAAATGCTCGTGAACTTGTGAAAGATGGGGATATAAGCAGTTGATAAAGACTGAAGGAAGAATGATTCAATTACACTTTTGCAACCAGAGGAATTTTTTTAGGCAATTGACGAATATCCGCCAATACACTCCCTAATTCGACTTGCAAAAGAGTTATGCGAAGAAATAATGCTCCAAAATGTATTGAAGTTGTTGAAAATATTCCTAGTATTAGTACAAGAAGAATTTCTGCACTTACTGGACAAAGTAAGACCCCTGTGCATGTCACCTTTATCATTACCAAACCAACTGGTTCAAGATCTCCACCGGATATTCTCTAAAGAGTGTTTAAAGAACTTTTTTCTGTAACGAAGCGACGGTTACAAACCATTAGATGTACCGAACGTTTATAGAGAAGGCTTTATCGTTGCCGTAGGCTTTATCGAGGTTGAAGTTAAAGAGACATTCCTCTTCAAGTCAGACGAACAATGTTATTTTAACGTGATTGGTCTCCGGCCCATATTGTGAGAGCTATAACTAATTTTCTTAACAAAAATTATTTAAATTGATCAGCAGGTTGACCATCGCAGTCTCCAAATCTCAAGTCGTTGATCTTTTTTATGTGGGGATAAGAGCAAATATTTACTTATTCATTGGAAAATCCTAATAGCAAAAACCAACTAATCGGATCAATTCACACAGCGTTTCAAAATAATATGGAAGCCAGAACTGAGACCGAATAATTATGGATTGCGCAAGGAGTGTGGTCATATTGAGCAAATTAAGTAGGATTCATTATGTTGTCATTGGGGTTTTATTAAAATTATTTTTTTCTGAGTCACTAATACGACTTGTTACTTTCAATCCCTAGATATTTTAGAAACCGTTGAGAATTCAAGAAAAGTCAAAGGAATAATTGTTGTTTACAATTCGTCATAATTCATGTACGAATACCTCGGCGGATACTCCGAATATAATTTTTTTTATGAATTATGAATTTCTTGGTAGCTTATTTTCAATATGTTACGCTCGGTATTAATAATTATTTCAATATGAGACTCATTAATCTGACCATTTCGGAGATTTTCATGGCAGTGTAATGGAAAATGTGTGTCTAGATAGTTTTTGATCGATTAAATACTTTTCTTTTCTAAAATGCTTGAAAATCTATACAGCTTTATCTCCATAGAGAGTTGGAACTTCTTTCGTATTTCTCCATCTCGAATGATACAGTTGTCATTAAATCTTGAGACGGTTTATCCTCTATGCATCTCTAGCAAAAATGAATGTAGTTTTAGACACTCTTATTTTGTATAGTTTAGGCCCCTAATTCAGGGTTAGCATGCAGATTACATATTTCGTTTTATTCAAATTTTCGGTCTTTGGATCTAGAAAGTTTTCAATTTATGCTAGTCCCATTAAAATGGTGACCACTCTGTTTCAAATGATGTTTTTGGGTTAGTGATTTCTTTACAAACATATTTTTGTAAATCCAAAATGAAGTGGGAAATGTTATTATATATTTCCACAAAACGAGTAAAATTTTGGAAAAACATTTTGGCTTTTCGAGTTGGGGCTCTAATCAGGCATGTCTGGGAATTAATATCAATACTGTAATCGACGTACAATTCGATAGTCGATGGCTTTCTGAACTTTAACATCTTCCAAAATTAATCGGTATTCATTTTATCAAATGCAAAACTAAAACTCTTTTAGAAAATACATTATTAAAAGTAAAAAGTAATTTCAATAGGCAGAATTCGGGTAGTCCATATGGTTTATTTGGTGCGGATGTCCAGTTCGATGTTATTAAAGGATGCGGCAAAGCTATTGGAATAATGGCTAACAGGAAATGTGTTAGCAATGATCAGCTAAATCAGTTTGAGTTTTGTAAAGCGAAATTAGGTGTGGCTGACTATTGCCATGCTGATTGACTAACAAAGAGCAAACATTTTTCCATGTTTGGAGCATTAGGTATATTTAAAAAAATTGTGGAGGCTTCAAACAATACATAATTTGTCTACTATTGAAGCAAAAATATCAATCTCCTACCATCACTATGTGTGTATTTTAAACAAGACTGCCATCACCAGTCAAATGAACATGTATAACATTACATATAAAAATGTTTGCCGTTGCCGTAAAAGCCTTCATAGTATGTATAACATTATTTAAAAAATCCACTACAGTAATAGCACATGTGAAATCAAAGGAAATATGAATATGTGATCATTTTATTGTTAAGTTTTAAGCCTTTCTTAAAGTTCAACGCCTGGATTATAAGGAATTCCAGATTACTACGGCGATTATGTTATTCTCAATTAACTTAACTCGGCAATAAAAGTCCTTTGTTATATCGAAAATGTATTTAAAAGCTTTGGCTCTCCCACGAAGCGTTTTGTTTTCAAATCATCAAAGTAAACTTGCATGTAAAGTGGTAAATGGAATTATTCTAACATTTACAGAGGGCCGAAGCTGTACAGAATGAGAAACGGGAGTCACTGCAATGTTTTCTTTAGCAATAATAAAATGAACAACATGTTTTCCTTTAATGTTTGATTAAAATGCTGGGGTACGAACATGCTTTGTGACAAGGAAAATTGCTAATGAAATAACAACTTACAACCTTTAAGAGACAGTCAATGATATTTCTAGTAATACGCAAGAAAATACGTGCTTTTGCTCACAGACATTTTAACCGTTCGGGTTTTTTGCTTTATTAACAGTAGAGGTAAACCGCTTTATAAGTAAAATTCTAATTTTTATTAGTTTAGTAATTATTCTAAAATCTCAGACTTAGTACATTTTAGTTAACTCAATATTTTTTTGTTTTTTACGGTTGACACGCACATAGTTAAGCAGCTGAGAAAGTTATGATCAGATAAATTTGCATGGCTTTGAGCCGTTTTTGAATAATCAGCTAACTATTAATAAGTAAAAAGTCATAAACGAACAGTTTCTATAGCTAATGATAGAAATAAATCATGTAACATAAACAATTGCTTAATTTAACCGGCGATATAAAAACCGCTAAAGGACGGGATTTGTCAAAGGAAACGGCCCAGCCCGTTAATTCTCAATGTTTACTGAATGAAACTGTGCCCGTTACTCCTACATCTTAACAAAAACAACAGTCGAAAGCTAATGAATTGAATGGAAAAGCCATGAAAAACTTTTTGAGATTCCAACAATACTTTCTGTCGCTTTCCATCGACCTGTTTTGGTTGCCTGTGAACTAGGGATAAGGGTGTATTGATTTTGGATTGTTTTTTTACATTGACTCAGTAGCGTGTAGGGAATAGTTAAAGTAATAGAAGTCATTAAGAGACGCCTGTTTAGTTAGGAGTTGGAGAAAATTGCAAATATAAACAGTAGTTTCAAACGAAGTGAATTGATGTTCAAAATCGTAAGGTAATATGAAAGGTACCTCAAGCTTTCTTAGCTAGTCATTTAAATATCGAAAACAATTGTATTTAGTTTAGTGTTGCGAAGCAGGCTCCAGGTGAATGTCCGCTAAAAGTTGGTGAACATTTTAATGAAACAAATGGGCGCAAAGACCCCTCGAGCAAGCAAGCAAAATAGTAAAATTTAGAGCCAATTTTTCCCTAGTTTAAAGTAATCGTTTTTGTAAATATTGGACACCTTTTGCTTTCATGCTTACTTACTTGCCGCTATCCGACGAGGAAACGTCCATACGAATAGCAGCTTCACTTACCTGCAACAAAAAACATAAAATAATTATATAAAAAGTTCAGATAGATACACTATTTGCTTTTTGAGCACATAATTAGTAGTTCAGCTGTTGCAATTTGCTAGTAAAGTTGAATACATATGTCACCCCCATTTTTTCCCACTCACTTTAGTATTTGTTGAGCGCATTTAATCATTTATATTCAGAAGAGGCATCCGTAACTGCCATACTGACAACACAATCATTTTCTGAAGGCATTCTAGTAACTGCTATACAGCTGACATACCAGAAAAATGATAAGGCACTTTGACGGATTAGAATCGCGATGATGCTGTAAGAACATTGTTGCGGGCCGCTTCTGTTCGTTAGATAATAATTTTTCTGCTAGCGTAACTTCTGAGCTTAGAGGTTAAATAGAATCTGGGTGGAGATGGATTTTTTGTTCCAGCAAAAGGGGACATGATTTAGATTGAGCAGCGGAAGCTGTGATCTGAAAATATGTAAACGATGTGAGCTTTCACATCAAGCTAGTTGAATCAAATATTTGAAAATGTCACATACCAGATAAATTAAGCTTTGTGTAGACAATCAAGATCAACTAGTTTCTCTTACACGAACTGAGTAGCGAGCGTTTTTTTAGGCAAACATTAACAATAGTTAATTTGATTGAAGATGAAAGATCTATGTTCCTTTGTTAAACCACATCGTTTCGCTGTTTAAAGATGTAATGTGTGATATCACTAATTAAATATTTTCCTCGCGTTAAATAAACTTATCGTGCATAACATACTACTGATACTGATTCGAACCTATTCCAAGTGTATGTGGGACTTATTGATTTGATTAAGGTGCTTCAACTCGAAACACGTCAGCAATCGAATTAGAAAACAAAACTAACCTTGTTTATTCTATGTAGTGAAGTGTGGTTTCTACGAAATACGACAATTCAATGTTTTCTCCATTGTTATTAGTCAATTTGCTTTAACATTTTATTAATAAGCGTAATCGCAAATTTATGAAGTCCGACAGGTTTTGATGCTGCCCTACAAACCCAAAAACCTTCTTTAAGCAGATCCATTTTCGCATCCTATAGGCAAGCATGGGGTTAAATCTAATACGCTTATGTTTTTCAGGCAAACCCAAGCCACTTTTTGAACTTCCATCGAAATTTTGTATTCAGAGATCGCGCGCACAGTAAACGGAACGCACATAGAATAATAATAATTTAGCCAAATGTTATACAGCTGACAGAAAACAGGAGATGGAAAAATATTGCTAAAGAAGTAATACGAACACGGCATTTTATGGGGCCATTTGCGTTATAAATCTCAACACTTTCTCCACTTGATGGAATCTCAGTTGACACTGATGAAATAAAAATGAAAAAAGTGTGAAGCGTTGTCTGACAGCCCAAGTCATCCCCAATTTCGCTGCTCAGGACCTCGCTCTTCAGCAGGATTTGCGGGATTGAGAAGGACGCCCTTAAGAGGGAGATTTGCAAGCGTTACGTACGACAAGGTCAACATTTCGCATAAAAAGTTGAAATACTGTCTAAAAAATCGCGAAAATTTATGCAGCGCAGTTTGTCCGAAAATAGACCTAAATTCCTGTATAGATCGTTTGAATGGAGTTGAACTGTGAGGAATAGATTGCAACCTGAATAAACGAGAAATTTATAGAGAAATGAATGGCTGGCTTGACGCTTGATGGAATTCGGGAGCGGTTTTCTATATTTTTTGGTTATTTTCATCAAGAAATCAATATCTTGGAGCTTTGAAAGTTCGTGAAACATTTACCCTTGCTGCGCTGATCTTCCTCGGAACCAATAACAGTTACTTTAAGTTCTGAAGAGCACATTTTAAAACGTACCCACAAATGTACCATTGAGATCAAAAACATATGAGACTGTAAACACATTTGCCACTGCGCTTCTTCATAAAAATATAATAAATTTTCCCATTAGGAAATTTGCGTAATTTCATGAAAATTTTGTAATGCTTAAATGGTAACGGTTAGCTGTATTAGTAGTAGTTAGGGATGGTCATAACACTCTGTGTCCCCGTCAACTGTGGTGTCCCATCAACCAGAGGAAGTTCAGTTAAAAGATTGACAAAAAGAAGATTATACAATTTTTCAAGACTTTGACAAACTTGTTTCATCACAAAAAAACACCGTTATATTAGTACTTCTGTTTCATGTGAGAGATTATTTTCCAAAGCGTGTGCCATCATTCACGAGCCAAGAATTATTCTGAAATGTTAATTAATTTTTAAATGGAAATTAGCTTTTTAATAATTCTCGCACGCAAAGCATATATTTTATTTAAACCACTCGATTTTATTATCAGTTTCTTCCTTTAAGCAGTTACTTATGTCTCATGTTTTGTTTTTAGAACATATTATGTTTAGTTTACCAATAAAAAAAAATTGTTCTTTTTTAAATAAACTATATCATTATTTCTCATCACTATTTCTACCATCATCATTGCGAATTTTTATTGGAAAATTTAAAAAGTAACAAGTTACTTTTGGGATCGCATTTTGTAACCTACTACCAAAGTAAAACTGCAACGTTGTAATCTATATGTAAAAATAACCGTTTAGCACACCTCTACTAGTACTACTAGCTGAAACTACAACTTTTAAACCTTATTTGGTCCTAATTAAGTTAAGACTCTTAACGCTCAACCTTATTAAAAACAAATTGCTCAATTCTCCCCACGTAAACTATTTAAAGTAGGTTATTTGCCGAACTATTATCAGTAAGAATTTAGATTAGAAAGAATAGAAATAAAACATTGCAAAAGTTGCTGAAAACTATGCTTTTTTTGTGGAAAAACGATGATACAATAATTTAATTTAAAAAATGGGGCCGATATTTGTTAACAAATTTATAAGCGTATTTTGCGGTTACTTTCCTTATGATCTTATGCAATGTCGAACATGCATAAAGTTTGCCTTTCTTGTGGAGACTCTAAATAGATCCAATCGACTACACGAGAAACGTTTGGAATCCATGATGTGTTGTTTGTTTATTACAACCAAACTCATTTTTCTGTAGAAGTGAAAGCAGCCAAAGAAAGTGCTAGTGGCCGCAACTTAACATCTGATAGTTGAAGTGAAACTGAAGCCGTTACTGATAAGCCACAATTAAGATTTTTTTTGGCAGATACAAGCCCCAGAACGGGGCAGGGACAACACTTACACTCACACTTACGAAACACAAGGGTTTCGAATAGATTATTTTTCATCACAAACTTACTCCAGCTTGCAGAATCTGTGCGCCATGATATGAAATCCAAACACTATTGTCAACAATGAAAACTGATGTTGTTAAGTGAGGTTATACAGAGAAGCTGAGCAGTATCAAGCATATGCAGGTAATTATTTAGTTGTTTTGGATACACAAGTGGAAAAGGAAATTTTGAAACATTTATTTTCTCCCACCAAGGAGTGACCAATCTGATCAAATTTTTATAAGTAGAATGACTTCTATTGTTGTTGTTTTATTTTTGCATAAATAACAAGTAATCAAATACTATGAAAAGTATCAGAAGAAGAGCGATCTTATACGAGTATGTCATACGCAACAACTTTTCAACAGCAAGCAATCAGAATTTTATCAAACGCTAATCTAATTTTCATGTGTCAAATACTTTAGAATTATTCAAATTATGTACGCGTAATTTGTATTAAAGTGTAACAAGAAATCACATTTTATATCCGAATGATAAGAAACTTACCATGTTATACAGGATGTCCACAAAGGTTAGTATAAATTCACCTACACATCCCTTAGCCAAATATATTTCAAACATTTTAAATCCCCTAATAAATAACACAACTTCCTATATTAAAAATTCTGAACATTTTTTACAAAAATTATCAGACATGTTGTTAGTCTATTCACTAACGTTCCTGTTGACACAACTTTAAATATTATCAAGCAAAAATTAGAAAATGACGTCGATCTTAAGGAACGCACACAACTAAGCACTAACACCATTATTATTAAACTTTTAACTATATGTGTAAAGTCAACTTATTTTCAATACAATGATAATTTTTATCAACAATCTTTTCGAATGGCTATGGGGTTGCCCCTATCACCTTTTTTCGGTAATTTATTTATGGAAAATATGGAATCAACTTATCATTAATAATTACAAATTTAAACCAATAATTTGGTGGCGTTATATTGATGATATATTCTCCATTTGCGGAAATGGCGAACAAAAGCTTGATGAATTTTTATCTTATCTGAACAATAAAGAACCAACCGACCAACCAAGAAAAATTTTAGAAGTAGTTAAAAATCTCGATTTAACTATTGCAAATTTTTAGAAGTATCTAGTAGAAAATCTCGATTTAGCTATTGAAAAATTTTAGAGGTAGTTAAAAATCTCGATTTAGCTATCGAAAAATTTTGGAAGTACCTAAAAATCGCAATTTAGCTATTAAAAAATGTTAGGAGTGGTAGTTGAAAATCTCGATTTAGCTATTGAAAAACTTTAGTTGAGTTCACTATTGACAAAGAACAAAATCACCAAATTCAGAAAAATTTAGACAATTTCGAAACCCTGGTCTATATAATTTTCAATCATACTTACATATTTTTCATGTAATTACTTACATATTTTTCATGTAATTACTTACATATTTGTCAATTATTGATAATTTTTTTAAAATAATTACTTCACTAATTGGAATTTTCTCTTACCGCTTGAGCCTAAGTGTGTCGCAGGATACCCTCTAGGTGATAGTTTTTAATTGCCTTTTGATAAATAATTCATTCTTATTGCGAGATAAGAGCACTGTTTATCAATCTGTAATAAAAGACTGAAGAAATTCTGTATTTTTTAAAGACAAAAATTTCTTCAGGCGAAATACCCAACAAACAGTCTGTAAAAACATGTAAGAGCCTCATGCTGGCTTTACTTACACCTCATCAATGTTGCGGAAACAGTATTATGGCATAATTTTCTTTCCCATTTCCCATTCGCTAAAACATCCTATTTAATTAATATGACAACGAACAATGGCTTCTCTTTGTGTAATATGAAATCTATTAGTATCTTGGAACGGGCTCATGAAGCGAATGTGTCTAAAAGATAATTACGACACATTTGCCTGAAAATAATACTTAAAATTGATAGACCGTAACAGAGATTTTGTCTTATTGTTGCAATAGCTTTGCCGATTTATATCTTTACTTTTGCAGAGCGCAACCACAACGTAAATTAACTCTTATAGAAGAAGATTTCAGACGCAAAATTTTGTGTGTGTGTGTGTGTGTGTCTTTCAATACTAGTAACGATAATATTTTCTCAACATTTGATTTCACAGTTCCGAGTCAAAAGGCAGCAGCTTCCCAGTATATTCAAATACATTACGTTATGGGATAGCCAAGCGATTGAAACCGGTCGTATTAAAATAAGCAGTCATTAATTTAAGAATTATTTTTCAAACGAATTAGCCGGATCTTCAGTAAAAGCTAAATTAGAACAAGGATACACTTTTCAGGTTATGACATAACTGATCCAGTTCAACCCGTTTGGGAAGCTACATCTTAATTAATGATCTACATTAAAAGTTACCATTTTGACTAATTTAGAAGCGTGCTTGCCATTTGCATAAATATTCAAGATGTGATCATCAATTATAACATGAGATAAATCATGTTGTAAATTAAAAGTGTAAAGTATAACCTTAAAAAGTATTTAATCCAGGAGTAGTAAGTGAGAATGTCACTTGAAATTTTGCTTTGAGGCTCTTACAGAAGCAACATTTTGCTTATAGAACAATGTTGGAATCCGGTATTTTAAATATTATCTTATCACTTTAAGAATGCCAAAATACATTACTACATTGCAATAATCAATCATGCTTCTTAAAAATACTTGGTTTTGAATTCCTGGAGTTTTCGTGATAATTCAACATAAATCAATGAATGGCATTTAAACTATGCGTAAAATAGGCGGAATCATAAACAGTCAACCAATAGAAATTATTTCAGCTGCTGATATTGAAGGAAATAAGCGAAAATAATTAAAACAGATGTTTATGCTATTAATAGTTGTTGAGCAGATATACACATCAGTGTGGCTAATCTTGCGTAAAAGATAGAATCTCTTTTAAAGAAATTAAACTGCTATTCCCCTTCAACTACCTTACCGTCTTATTAAATATGAAATTAAATTTAATTAATTTGAAGCAATATTGTACCTTATGATTGTGAATGCAATGTTTTATTAATTCGGCTCCTCTTTAAAAACCATCTACCAAGTAAATTAACAAAAAATGCAAATACATAAATTTATCCTCATTGACTATTCCCTAGCAACTGATATTAAGAAACTTATTTTTCTACAAAAGCATTGAATGAATACCCATAAATATTAGGTCCGACCATAATGCATTATTGAACATTGTTCGTTATCTTTACGACTTATCGAAATAACTGTTATAGTTAATGTTGCAAAAACGACTGAATTTCGTCACTAGCGTAATACCTCGGTTCTGTTTAACCGATTTTTTATGCATTCCGCATAATCATGAAACCAGAATTAATTGATGTTGGACGTTTCTGCAATTCCGATTGGGAACTCGTTTGGAATTAGGCGAGGAAGCGACCAATTGAAATGTTTCATCAATCGATGAAATGGAGCAATAGAAATTCATTAGTGATGAAATGATGAACTTATATTTTGAGATCTAAAAAAATGAATTAAACAAAAGCCACAACGTACACTGATTACAACAATTTCAGCAAATTACTATTTGAGAAAATTATTTAATGCTTGTTACAAAAAACGTGTTAATTTATTGCTTTTTCCAATAAAAAACGTACAAAATATATAGTTACGATAGGAAGTAATTTATGTGTTTTTCTTGCAAACGTTTTATCTGAAAAGTGAGTTGCATATTTTAGTCCTTATTTTAGCCAGCGATGCAACTTCATTTTGTTTCCTATTTTCACACAAGGATCTTAGTTAAATTTATTTCAATCTAAATGATTCATAAATTACATACCTATACTGATCTACACACTTATTTCAAACAAAAACTAAACTAATTTAAGTTATTATTTTGATTCACTTATACACAGCAACTTATTAACATAAAGGCTAACATCGAAAATGCTAAACATCTTGTTTTTTATAATATCATTTGCATTGTGAAATCCGGTTAGTTTTCTACAGATGTAAAAACCCACAGACGGTGTTTCTACATATGGGACACTGAGTCGGGTATTTTTCACTATTGTTTATGTATGGGCTTTACATTTTCCCGTCTCGATAAAATAATGTTTGTTTAAGCACACAGTAATTTTTCTTCGAATTATTATTAATTGGCTTAATTTATTTCCATATATTTGCCAGTCTGTCTACAAGCAAGATAATGACCGCTTCTTAAGACGTTATTACAGATAACGAAAACGAGATTATTTTCATTAATAGACTGGACTTCACAAATATTATTGTGATACAAATATACAAAGCTTGAGATTGAACAAGTCGACATTTACCCAATTTAAAAATATATGAAAGCAATGTTAAAATGTTTTAATTGACATTAGCATTGTAACTAAGTAAGCATACAATTTAAAAATATACGTTTTATATAAATTGCAATATTTTTTTCCTCTTTACACATACATAACCATTATAACTGAAATTACCATTGCAAAATCTAAGTTATGCAAAACAGTTATGTGCTGATAAATAATTCTTTAGAAAGGTCAATTGTCAATAATTATTGTTATTCTTGCTACATGTTTACAATAATAAATATATTTTTACATTTACTTTTCGAAACTACATGTGCAGTTAAGTGGGTTTCGATTTTGAAATTCAGTGATATATAGGGCGACCGGTACACAACCATTCTGTCGCTAGCGTCTGTAAAATTAATATTTTTAAAGCGATTTTAGAATTAACCACTTGGCGAGGATGCATATTTGAAACGGTTTCAATTTGCTAATAAATGTTATTAAGTAACGCTCCAAAGTTTCAAAGACGAAATATCACATTTGAGATATATTGAGATAAATACGATTTAAAATATAATTCCTGTTTTATTGATGAAGGCTTAGCGTTCCAAATTAACTTCTTCATATGTATTTAAGAGTTTTAACGCTCATATGTTGGACGTTTTTATGGGTAGAAACTCAGATCTTTGAAGTAAAATCACTTAAGATAAAAATATAACAATAATTAAAAACAAGTAGGTAATTATTTTTTTTATATTTACAAGGTGTTATAATTCTAACGGTTACTTATGGGACAAGCACTTGCAAATAACTCGTCGTTTTGAACCAGAAAATACTTGGAACTCGTAGAACTGCGGGTTTTATGCTTGACATTTTTAAGGAATTGAAATTTGCCTTCAAAATTAGTCAAAGTAATAATAGCTATGATATGCATGTGTTTTTATGGATTACATGCAAGAGTATATTACCACATATCTGATTCAGAATAAGATCTTTATAACTGCGGTTGCATCTTACTCTCTTACATCACTTTCTAACTCAATAAACATGATTGTTTTATTGCATGCAGTTTTGAAAAATTGTTAAACATTGCCTGATGATGACTGAAAATCGAAACTTTGTACACTTGTATGAGAAACGTTTTACTTATTTACATATAGCAATATAAGACTTATACACATAGCAAGTTACAGCGAAAATGAATGCTCAACCCCGTATATGCTAAAACATCAGCATAAACCAAAACRCAATTATGAAAAGTTGTCAAAAATAGCTTGATGATAACAGAAAATCGAAATATTCTCCACTTATTGAAGGAACTTTTGTCTAAAAATGTGATCAAAGTTGGCTTTTTCATTGGCAAAGTTTTTTGCCTCACGCGTTAACGAATAAATGGGTCCTAAACTCCGGTCTGCAAAAACTACCAAAAAAACCAGGCGAAGCTTTGAAAATGTTTGCGATGACTAAAAATCGAAACTTTATCCATTTATAGAAGGGCGTTTGCTCTAAAAAATCCATTCAAAATGGACTTTTCACCTGGCAAGTTGCATTGGAAATCACTGCTAAATGCCGCCTGCAAATACAAGCTCGTAAAACACACGCAATTTTCAAAAACTGTCAACAAAGGCCTGATGATGACTGAAAGTCGAAACTTTTTGCACTTATAGAAGAGACTGTGCCCTACAAAATGGATTCAAAATTGACATTTTCAATTCGCCGGATAAACAGGAACTAAATCTTAGACTCTAGTCTGCAGAGCACCACAAAAACCAGAAGCGCTTCTGAAAAATTGATGAAAATTGCTTGAATACAACCAAAAATCGAAACGTTGCGCAATGATTGAAGGGCTTTGCTCTAAAAAACTCTCGTCCAACATTGACTTTTTCACCTAACAAATTACAATGTAAATAATTGGCAATGCCTGCAAAAACAACCTCGTATGCCAACTCCAATTTTGAAAAATTGTCAAAAACTGCGCAATGACGACCGAAAATTTAAACTTTGTCCACTAACAGAAACAAACGTACTCCAATAAAAGCAATAAAAATTGACTTTCTTAATTCACAAGCTATCGGGGAAATAAACGCTCAACTTTAGCTTGTAAAATCCACCACAAAAACGTTAGTCAAAAAATCTTCAAAATTTCCTGTCGACGGTTAAAAATTTAAACTTTTACAAATTATAAATTAGATTTTGCCTAAAAAAATTAATGCTAATGTTCTCACGTCTTTAGTTTTTGAATAAATAAATATTAAACTCCGGTCTGCAAAAAGAACTACGCAAACCAAATGMACTTTCAAAACATTTTCAAAAATTGGCTGATGATCCAAAATCGAAACTTTGTTCAACAAATTGCATATAAAACTCTTAAACTCCGGCCTGCAGAAGCCACCTGAAAAACTCGACGCGATTTTGAAAAATCCTTAAAACTGGTCTGATGATGACTTAAAATCGAAACTTTTTCCACGTATAAAACAGACATCGCGCAACAAAATACGAGCAAAAGCGAATCTCTTACTGAGATTTTACAAAAACGAAAAGCGATTTTGAAAAATTGTTAAAAGTTGTCTGATGATGATTGTTTTCATCTAGAGGGGCACGTGGATCTACAAATTACAACTGAAACTAACTTTTCACCTTGAAAATTACACAGGAAATGAACGCGTAAAAAAAGAAGTAAGAGATTTCAAAAGTAACGTAAGAGATTTGGGTCTAATGAAGAGGTCATCATTGAAAGAAACGCATATTTTGAGGACCTCTCCTTTGTTATTGGGAATTTTCAATTACATATAAACATTATTTTACAGTCCATATATTGTCTTTTATAGTATAAAGAAATACCTATTTATTAGGAAACTACATTTTAAATTTTTTGGACAAAATATATCATATTGTTGCGTGTTTATCTAATCAATATCAATAGAGACCAGTTATAAACTTCATATAAACATTTAGTAGTATAAGTATTTAGAAATTTTTCATAAATAAAAATTCCTCAAATTAATTACTAATACATAAGTGGAAATAAGCAAATCATATACTCAAAGGAGAGAAATAGTAAAAAACAGCGTTAAAAAAAATACTGAGACACAGATCACATACACTGATGGCAAAAATTACACTGCGAGCGAAACAAGCAATCAAAGTAGTAAGAAGCTAAGACACGTGAAGCAAGTAGTTAAAAGAGAGATGTGGGCTTATTTCTCACTTTTTGTAACATCTAGACAAAATTCATGTACCTAACTAAAATTCATGTTTTGTAAACAAAATCGTCAGATATTCAATTAGATTGGAACTTATGTAAAAATCATTTCATGTTATTGTTGAAATATTGACTTATTGTCTCATGTATGAAAGTTTTAGTATTAATACCGTAACACAAAAAAATATAATTTCTAAATTGCTTTCAAGTAGCACACGTTTGTAAAAACTCAAACTAACAAATTTCGTACGATATTGAATTGACGTTCCAAAGGCGTTTTGAGATTACACAAAATGTATATAAATCTCCGATATGTATGTCGAAACCCCCACTGCGATATAATTATACCATTTGTGCCGGAATAATAAATCATGACACCAGGCAATTTGACCACTTGTAAAGATAAATTCAATTTTAGTACGTTATCGATAGACACGCGCATTGTACAAATGTTTCACTAGCATATTTCAAATAAAATATATATATACAATAATTATTAATTTACTTCAACAAGCTTAAATCAGCCGGGAATTTAATTTAATGTCCACGATCCAACATATCGCTAATTGTCAGAAAGGAGAAATGTTACTGATATTGAGTTAGAATTTGGAATTTAAAGAAATACTCAGCAAAGGATTATTCTGGAAAAAAATTACTTTCAGTTTGTAGGCATATTTAAATTAATTATGATTTCCCGATTAAGATTTGGAGCTGGTGGTTCAGTGAGAAATGAGATTACCACATTAAGTTATCATCATTCAACTTATTTATAAACGTATTGCACCTTGTCTTTTGCGACTCTGTTCTTTCTTTATTTATCACTGCAGTTGTTTGTTCATGGTGTGTAGGTATTTACATGTTCGGTTTAACCTGATCTCAACCGCAACTTTAATTTGCATAATGACAAACGTACTATTTGATTGTAAGCACCGTTCTACAATTTAATTTCACTTCACGTTTTTTCAAGAGCTGTTATTGCAATACTCCAGGTCGTATAATCTTTACAACCAAATGCGATGCATTAAGATGGATTTTATAAAATATGAAGAAAACCAGTTTAACTTAAATAATTGTCTATCGATTTTTACTTAGTATTTCAAGAGTGTGTTTAGAGGCATTTCTTTAAAACCAAGCTGAAAACTTGAGGACTAATCTTGAAACGCCGTTTGCTAATTGCGACTTATTCTTTATTAACCCATCGGCCTTGTTTATGTTCCATCTATATATTCACTATCTAAGCTTTATGTATGAAAATCCCCAAGTAGATTACTAAGTTTAGGTTATCGATTACTATTCTAAATAAATTTATCACTTAAACAAAAACATTCGTCTCTTGAATAAACCGAACACCGTTTTCAAGAGCAAGAATCCAAGTCAAGCTTAGAAAATAATAGGTATGTATAATCTCCATACACTTGTTATGCCTAATTACAAAATTGTTCATTCAACTAAACACATTAAAGTTCTACTGAGAAATCTAGCTGCACTTACCGAAAACAACTTAATATTCAGCCAAGTAAGAAAATTATCGTTCCACTAACACACTTATTGTCATTTGAGCATTCTCGAAGTGAACTGCAGTGGTTTAGAAAAACAAATCACTTTACACAAACACAGCAGTCTGATAGCCCTCTCACCCGAACAAACTGACACTGGCAAAGTAAAATAATTCAAAAGTTAATCGATTAATATTTACCAAACATTCGTGTCTAACAATGTATTATCGAAATTATATGTTTTATTATAATAAGATAAATTATTCAGCTGATAACACTGGCAGCAATCTTTAAGAAGCAGGAGATTAATGATTACGTCAAGCCATTGAAAATTGCATACCTAGTTGAGATATGAGAATATATGTTTCAAGATGTTTTTTCCATGATTAAAATTTATCTCAATTGTAGTTATTATCACGAATTTAAATTAATTATCACGGAATTCTTCCTGCGACCGAAACAGGAAATTGATAGCTGAATAGCGAACCCATCACTGACGATGAACAATTCTAATATGGCATTGAATCATATGCGGTATTTTATTAAGTCTTGTTTTCATAATTTCAACTTAAATAAATTACCACTTATGACTTGGTAAAGGTCTTCCTAGAAGCATCAGTTAGTTATGATATTTTCTAGAATCAACAATACTGTATAGTTAGTTATACATTAGAAATTTTAACTGGGAATTTTCGCTAAATAAATAAGGCTTAAAGGCGATAACCTTTGAAGTTAAATTGATGTATTATTTAATAAGCATTTGTATTTATGTTGAGTAATTATGTTTACTAAATGGCTTATGTTAGCAATTTACTATTTTTGAAAATCATCACACTTTTTAGGATAACGACTTTATAAATAAGCGTTCTAGATGTGAATATATTGACGGCCAACTACGCGGAGGTTCAAGGCAACGAAATCTTATTAGACCTCTTCTCAATTTTTTACCACAACACTTATCGGAACTTTTGTTGAGAAATTAATAAGGTAACTAAAGGTAAATATTTTATTGCACACCCATGGTGATATAAAAGAAAATAATGTTTTTTATCGGGATTTGATTCAAAAAATTAAAGACGTATTGTATTTACTACTGAGGGGGAAGAGTACCTTTCAATCTAAAGAACTTCTTCATCTTGCCAAATGTTTAGGCGTATTTCTAAAGCCCAAATTTCAACTGAGCGATTCGATGAGGGCCTTGCCACTTCACCAAAAGTATCAAAGCCTCTACACAGAATGTTTCTGAAAGGTGTAGAAAAGTGCTATTACATATTTCTGAGGCTGAAATATGGAGATCTATCCAATATGCCTACATCGGTTGAACACACTGGAATAATTGCTTGGGGCTAAATTTTATAAAATAATTTTTACGATGTATTAATCTTCCTATTTATTTAACTTCCCATTGCCGTTATATCGTGAAATGATGCAATTAATTTTCTCAGATCAGATATCTCAAAAACGAATGGACAAATCAACTCGAATCGAGTACATATACCGTTTTCGGCCAAGAGATGTTCTACAATAATAATTTCTAAGTAAGGAAAATACAGGGTGATTCAAAATTGGCGTCATTCCTTTTACGGGGTAATAGGTGCTGACTTGGAAGGTACGAGAAAAATATTGAAATTAATTTTTTTCGATAATTTCTAGAAGATATTAACAGTTGAACATCGAATTTCAACTTTGTTATTAAGCATTATTTTGAAAGTGTTCCATGTTTAATTGGTAGCATATTAGAATTTTTAAGCATTCAAAAAGAACAATTACGATATTTGCTTCAAATTACGAAAAATTTTTATATTAAAAAAGTTCTTTTCTACAATTTTTTGATGGAAAGTCAAAACGGCAATGATGTTTTTTGTCACTAACAGATAGTTACAGGTAGATAGCCCGGGTCAATAATAACAATAATTTGTTAAACTGTGACTTAGTTTGAATTTCCTTTCGCCAATTTGCGGATATGCGATTAGTTCGGGAGAAATGCTACAGTAACAAAGCAGAAGCTGAAAGAACTCACACCAACAAAGAGCGAGGAGATTGGTTCCAGGAAGATAGTAGACGACAATATACTTATGTTCGGCTTCCAGACATAGAGGAACAAATATTAGACATAATTGCAGAAGAGCCTTTCAGG